ATTAGACCATCTCAGACTAACTTGGGCTTACTATTGTTATTTCTTTTAGTCAAATTGAGCTTTTTGCACATATGACTGAGAAAACTGCCCTTTACTTTGGATCTAGCTTAAATTATTTAATGAATCCTCTTTCTCAGTTAATTGGACATTAGTTTTTAAGGAAGAATGAAAGTGCTTCCTGTGCCACCTAAATAGCTAAACAGGGTCTGCAGCGAGCAGTGAAACCAGCTGAGGTTCTTGAAAAGACAATCAGTGGCCTGGTCTTAGCCTCAGGCCTGGGAAAACTATTCACCAAGCAACTTGAGTTTTAATTTTAATTTGATACACTGTGTTTAATGCAAAATGTATGGGCATTTCTCTAGGTGTCTTGCTCAATTGTGGGGAAAGGCTGTAATCCTGCCGGGTTTGTCTTGCAAGTTTGTGTAGCCATTGTTGTTTCCTGGTGGGTGTCTAGGAGAGGAGGCAGGAGAATGCAGAGTCTGGGGAAATGAAGCCTCATGAAGCCGTCCTTTGAATAGGTTCACACAGGCTCCCTTATCCTGTGTGCCTCAGGCTCCAGGGCTCCCTGCGGAAACCATGATCCAGGCAGTGGGGGAAATGCCAAATCATTCTTTGGCTACAGACTGGTGACTGCTGGCTCCCTGCAGAAATGCAGGAAGCAGACTTCGAAAGACCCTTTCCTGGGACTGATAAAATCCTGGAAAATCTACTAGAGAAAGGGGATGAGCATGGCTTAGGAAAGCTCCCTTTCGTTTGACCAAAATTCTAGAACATTTCATTCAAGTAAGTAGTACATAAACTAAAAATTAAGGTTCTCAGGATTCATGGAGGGTTCCCTGGGAATATGAGGGCATCCTGGTCTAATGCTGGGTTGTGTGCCTGTCTCTGTCGTATGTCATGTTCTGTGCTTGGGGCCACTGGCAGGCTTGATTAAGGGAGTTTCCAGGTCAGTGCGCCAAGAAGGCCATGGAGGAAGGCTGCAGGTCTGGATTTCAAGAAATGAGGTAGGCCCCATTTAGTGAAAAGAAAGGGAATCAAATTAAGCAAGATAAATAGACGTCGAAAAATATGGAAAGTGTGTGTGTGACAAAGAGAGAGAGAGAGAGAGAGAGAGAGAGAGAGAGAGACTGAGAAACTGAGGAAGCTTTGAAGACCTCTGCCTGCCAAGCTACTGTGTTTGCTTTTAGCCCGCAGAATTTTCTGGCCTGAAAGATTAATGCAGAGCATAGCTTGAGTAACACACAGTCATGGCGGTGGTAAACCCATGGCAATTGAAAGCTCTAAAGGGCTCACCATCACTGAACTCTAGAACAGTGACTCCAGCAGCCAGAGAACAGGAAGACCTTGGTGTAATGATGCTGTGGCCAATGAGGAGAGTGGCTTTTAACCATGTGACTTTCCCCAAAGAGGTCAGAGAGGGTGACAACGAAGGGCACTGGGTTTGTAGTTTGGAGGTTAGTGGGGACCCGTCCAGAATAGCAGCACACTGGCTCCAGGGAGAGTGACTTTCAGGAAAGCAGAGAGGAGTCTGTAATTGTCCAAGCACAGTAGCTTTTTGTGGTTGCGCCTCGGTCTAGGGACTGTGGTGTACAGCGGAGTTGGGCTGTGATGTGCAGTTGTCTTAGTGAGACATTTATCTGTGAGCTGAGAAGACCAAGCTGCCTCTTGGCAGCCATGGGTCAGTCCAGGGCTCCTTTCTCCAGCGGAGGCTGCCAGCTCTCTAGAGTTGGCAGGGAGCGATCATCCATCCCCCAGCGTCACAGGGGCTTGGCTCCAAGACTCCTTCCAGGGCACCAAAACGGGAGGACACTCAAGTATCTCATAAAAAACAGTGTAGCATTTGCATTTAACCTATATACATCCTTCTGCACACTTCAAGTTATCTGTCAATTACAGTACTTACTAGAATATAAATGTTATGTAAAGGGTTGTTAGTCTATATTGTTCATAAAATAACGAGAAGAAAAAGTCCACATATTTTGAGTACAGACATATTCTCCCCCTCCCCAATATTTTCAATCTGAGCTTGGTTGAATCCCCCAGCTGTGGAATCACATGTACAATGGGCTGATTCTATCTTGATATTAGTTTCCAGAATGCTACATACCCAAAGGAAGCATTACAATTGTTCCCTGTCCCCAATTATAATTCCCATCTCCTGGTGATGAGCCCCTGAGCACCTCTCTGAGTTCTGATGGGGCAGGGCACACCCTGAATTGCTGCAACAAAGCCCTGATTGGAAAATCCACAAAGGTGGGTCAACCTCAGGGACCCTATCTGCGTGCTGATTGCCGGTTCTGTTTCCCTGCTCGGCAATAGAGCCAGCCTGTTTTTATGACATAGTGACCCAGCCAGCATTTTGCTATAATCAATGTTTCCATTCTTTCCAAAATAAACATGTTGACAGTCATACAGGATCAGGGAGATGAACGTTTTCCATCCCTAGGTGCAGGGCGGTGTGTTTTTGAAAAGAAGTATTTTAACAGAGGAATTTAATCTAATCTCTGGCTGCTTTGTAATTTGTCTAGGATATTAGACTTTAGGAGGTAATCTTTTCCCTTCTTTTTAGATTCAGTTAAATTTCTTCACCTCCACCCACTTCTGGCTTTGTTCAGAATTATTGTATCACATTTAGGGAATGAGCAACAGGAAATAGGGGCCAAGTCTGAAACAAAAGTGTCCTTTTAAGTGACCAAGTGAAGGTAAGTGTTACAGCAAAGACTGTTATTGTGCCAGAGAATCCCCCCCTTTGAGCTAATTGGTGAGTGCTATTTTGCATGTGTATGCTGTTTTAAAATTAAAAAATTCCATCCTGCCTTCAGGAATGAAATGTAATCTCACACTTGTTTTGAAGATAGCCTTTCCTTTGCTGTGTCCATAAATATGAACAAGCCACTGCCTGTCAGCATCCCAGGTATCAGACCTATTTCATGTAAACAGAGTTTATTTGGCTTGGATGATTAGTAATTTTATTTCAGAAAGAAATAGCTGGTAAGTCACAGTGCGGAGCTCAGGATCAAAGCTTACTTCTCAGGCACTGAGGTGTCAGGCAGCCAGCTGTTTATGTATCTACTGAGCTAAATTAGTATCATTATCACTTCAGCAAAGCCCAGATATTACTGTGCTCTCCACTAAAGAAACCAATTACAGTATCTGTTGGACGGTATATTAAATGACACCATTTAATTAAAGCCTAATCTCTCTCTGAATGAACAATATTTTAAATTATTGTACGTTGTTTCATTCAATTACTGTGAACCTCTGTTCATTTTTTAAGAGCAGCAAAAACTCATTTGGCACCTGACAGCCCAGAAAAATCATCACTGCTTTGTGTAGTGTTCAGAGCTATGCTGTCAGTAACAGTCAAGCCAGGACCCACATCAGGCCGCGAGCTTTTCTCATCTTAAAATATTTCAGATTTGCTTCTCAAGCCTCCCGGCAGAGAGAGACCCTATTTTGTGATCACCAGTGATTCCCCCAAGGACCAGGGGATAATGGAGACCTCTACAAAAGAATACGTTTAGAGAATAAAGCCATTAAAGGAATACAATCCCCATACCAGGAGCTGAGCCACATAACTGACAGGATAGAAATTCATTCTGAATGAATATCTCATAAGGGGATGCAAGAATTAAAATGGATTTGACAGTGAACTCCGGAGATAACCTATAATAGAAATAAAAATTTACTTGCTAGAAGGAGAAATGAGATAAAATGATCCAGCTATTAAAAAGTGGGGAGGCGGTAACATGACTCTCACTCCATGGAGTCATTTAGTTAGTCTGGAGAGATACTGGCACCACTGAAGTAGCAGAAAATGTGGCCACTAGCCAGATCCGAGTGCTGAGTGCTTCTGTAGGACAGAAGGTGAAAGAACAGGAAGTGTGGAATGAATGTTTTATCAGTCTACTGGGCCCTCAATAAGAGCCAAGGAAGCAAAATATATAGTAGGATACATCCCACATGTGTAGAAACATACCCCAGAGCCTGCGAGCTCGTGGAAGTTTGAAACAAACCTTAGGACCCAGCACTGCTTTGCTCAGGCTGTCCGTCCTATGCCAATCTGTTTCAATTTCCGGAAGCCGTGACCTTAATGTGTGAAGTGAATGGTCCAAAGCCAAGTGGATCTATTTCTTCTAGTCAGCATGGCCTGCTTGAGTCTAAATTCAGACACGAGGGACAGTGGTAGAGGAACATACTAATGACAACAGGGTGGGGGCCTTCTCCATGCACAGAATGCCTTGGCCTATTTATGCAACTTTATGGAATTTGTTCCCTTGATATTAAATTTTTAAAACAATCCTTAGTTTTATATCACTTTAAGCCACCTATAGTTAGGGAATGTGCATGCCCAAAGCTTGGTATCATGGCTGTAAATCATATAGTAGAGCAGAGGTCAAAGATGTAAATTTTATTTTATTATTTTGTTTATTGGTACCAGGGATCGAACTCACGACCGCCTGCTTGCAAGGCAGGTGCTTATGCCGCTGAGCTAAATCTCCAGCCCCTTAAATTTTAGAGCTCCTAATTTATGCACTTGGCAGGGAAAATATTTACAGATTCTTGCTGATAGACAAGACAGAATAGAGACCTTTCCCAGAAACTCTTAAATTCAGCTTCCCTGCCTACCACTGCTAACTGAAAGGCATTGAGTATATTACTTTACTTTTCTCCCATGCAATGTGAGTCAGAAACACACATCTCTTTGGATTACTATGAAAGTCAAGACAGGTATTTTGGTGTCTCCAAGGCAATAATACAGAAAACTTAGCAAACAGAAGATACTTATTATTATAGGTGTTGCTGTATATAAGGAAGTACTGGTTATCTCCCAAGGACCGTTTTGGCCCACAAGTTGGACACATATAGAGATTTGTTAAAAGCAGCATGTAATAAATCAGAAAAGTCGATGTTACTTGTATGGAGCAGCACACCTGACATCTGAAAGCACATATACACATCATAATAAATAGAATTTTTAAACATTGGAGCGTACTTACCACCCAGGATCCTGCATAATTGAAATGGCAGTAGGATCCCTCTCTGCACCGGCAGGGTCTCCAAGAAGGGCCCTGAAATTATTAGATGTAATCATCAGGCTGCGTTCCTTCCACAAGTCAGTTCTTCGCCATCTGCCACTTGGAGCAGGGCCTGCAGGCGCAGTTTGGAGAGACGCCCATTGCTCAGTAGAGAAGGGAAACATTTCTGTCCAAGAAACTGATACCTCGTGTCTGAATTCTGCTGAGAGAAAGAACTGCACAGGGCGGCTCTGGCTTAGTGATAATAAGGACAATGGAAGCCATTGTGTTGTTATGAACAGGAACAGTGGACAGGACCTGCATTTGGAGGATTTTAAAATAGAGAGTTAAAGGACAAAGTATTTAGAAAACTTAAACTGGGCTCAAGATAAGAGTTGGTAGAACTTTGTCCAGTTGGTAGAAGGAAGTCCTGTGTGTTACCCTGAGGCAAGCATCATAGGCAGTGTAAGGGTGGAGGCTGACCAATACTAAGATGGTCGGTGAGGCACGTTATGGCAGTAGCTTATTCACTGTGGTTTAATGGAAATAACAATGGGCATCAGTAGGTAGAGACCAGGGTGCACCCCAAGGTGGTATGAGGATGCTAGGAGCCAGGGAGTGAATGGTACAAAATCATTTCAAGGCAGGGACAGCACCTGGAGTGATGATCAGAAACTTCATCTTCTGGTGGAATGTGTAAGGGAGGGAGCCCACTGTGAGCTCACCCAGGACTGCAGCTGTTATTGTCACTAACACCAACCGCTACCTCTCATCTGTTCTTGTTCTCATGCATCTGTCCAGACCATTGAATGATTCTTCCTGAAACACTGCTTTGAATCTCACCACACCTGTTAAAAACCTTTAGTGGATCCCTAGTTTTCCTGGATCTAAGTATAGGATGCTGTATTTGAATATCATCTTTTTAGCTTTGTTTTATAGTTGACTTTATCAAAGGCCTTCCACTGGGCTGCATTCTCAGCCTTTTTCCAGTCCCTTTTAATTATTCTTTTAAATGTGACATAAGGTCTTAGTAAGTCACTCTATAGCCTAGACTGGGCTCCAATTTGTGAGTCTCCTGCCTCAGGTTCCCACAGTGCTGAAATTACAGTCATATACCACTATGCCTTGCTCATGTTGTAATTGAAATAGATTTAAGGAAGTAAATATCGAGTTCAATGATTTTTTTTAAGCCTTGTTTCTAGGAACTCGGTGCTTCCTTGAAGCCTTTGCTTGAAGAGGAAGCTCACAAAACTGATCAGAACGCCCGGGGCCCATCTTTTCTTTAGATTCCTAATCTCCACACTTCAGTGTTTTAGGTGTTTGGATGTGAATTCAAGGTTCCCCAACCAGCAATCTTTTTTCTTCTAAACATTTTTGTTACAACCCCTTTAACTAATGACCAAGAAATTCGAGTTTAGAACCATTAGCCAACTCTCCTCAGGTGACACGGCTGGCTGGTACTGATGTAGGGTCAACTTAAGGTCTCAAAACTCTCAGCCCATTAGTAGTTCTGAAAAACACAAACAAAAGCAAAACAGTATCAACCTAAATGGGTGACCAGAACTGCAGAAAGCTGTACGGTGTGCGCAAAACACTGCACGGCACAACTGGGGTCAGCCCCTCCAAAGCCACGTGGTACAGGGTGGTCATCACCTCCATTCTAAAGGATTCACGGTCTGGAGAGGTTCAGTTCATGTTTGGTTGTGGAACTAAGGACCTGAGGCAAGATTCCTCCATAAGGAAACACAGGCAACAACTCTGAAAGTGTATTTGGGAAGAGAGCAGCGGGGGGAGGAGTCATCTTCCTGCTCTACGTGCCAAGCCCCTGAGCAACCCTGAGAGGCAGGGAGGGTTCTGGTGTTGCCTGGGAGCCCACCCCTCAGGGACAGGACAGGCAGGTGATATCAGACTCCATACTGGGCTTAGGGACCCACGTTGGTGATTCCCGGTACCGCATCCCCATCAGCTCTTACCCCTCCTCAGTCTCACTGCCTGGGCTCTACTCCAAGCCTTTCTTAGCTGAGGACCTCCAGGGAGGAACCCAGCCTAAGACAGTGGTGTGGAAGGGGACATATTTAAGTCCCTTAAAGCTCGGCACAGTGGCCTGAGCCTACTCAGGAGGCTGAGGGCAAGAGGATCACATGAGCTCAGGAGTTTCAGACCAGTCTGAGCAACATCACAAAATTATCATCTGTAAATAAAGAAGCATTCAGTCAAACAACTGCTCCCTAACATTGGTAGCAAAGCACTAGAACAATTTTGCCCTGATGCTTATGGAGGGAAAGGGACAAAGATGTGAAAGGCTTTTGATGAAGATGATGGTTAGAGCTCCAAGTGAAGTTAGGAAGGAAATCTTTTAAAATGCCGCTTGCTCCATGGCCAGAGCATCTCCCTGGGCACCAAACACTGTCTCTAGAAGGCTAAAGGCACGTGCCCACCTCCTCTGGCCTCTGCAGCGAGGAGGAGGACTGGAGAATGCAGGACCCCTTGGCCCCGGGCAATGCTGTCTCCTCATTCTGTACTCTGGCTTTGGAGATGAGCTGCACGTATGTTTTACAAATGTCTGAAAGGCTTTGGCGGTGGAGGTCACACACCACTAGGAAGCAGCCTTTTCAAAGCCTAATTCGCAGGCAGCAAGAAGGTAGGGCATGGCCAAGCTGACTGGAGCACGAGCATGAGCAGGTTCCAGGACTCACTGCCCAGCAGTTCCCACGGGGCCTAGATGGAGTTCTCCCAGGTCCCTGTGATACGAGAAATCAAGAGGAGGACACCACCGAAAGTGCACTACCGGGCTTCCCCATGGTAGCCTGCCCTGCATTCTCCAGTGTGTACTTTTATTTTTTTCCCTTTTTTTCATTCTGCCAAGTTCACTCTGCAGAGCCAACTTCTCCCTTACCCTCCGTATTTCAAATAAACTTCACACCATTCTTGTAGGGCTTCTTCAGTTCTTTATTCAAGACAAGAAGAGCCTGTGTACCAAGATGCAAACACTCCCCAAAACATTACTTAGCATAGCCATCCAGAGGAGACCAGGTAAGGTCCAATGGGCATCACTCTTTTTTCTCTCTAAAATGTCACAAAGGTCTTTGTCGTTCTCTGTTTCTCCCCTTTGCTGGGACTGTAGGGGACTCTGGCCATGGTGCCAAGAGGCTTTTTAGCCCTGCCATGGAGGATGGAGAAATGGAGTGTACCGTTTGGTTTTTCCTTCCCGCTGCAGTAGACTTTGGTTTCCTTGCTTGTGCTCACTCCTCGGGGATGAGTTAGGTAGCAGGTCCTGTTGTCCGTGCATTTGTCAACCTTTTAGGAAATTAATGTGACATCTGTTAGAGTGTTCTGGCGCAACAGAGAAGCAAAAAGTACAAAACAAATAGGTTTATTAAGTTGAGGACATGGAAAGGAGCACACAATCCATGTGGTTGGGCTGTCTCCTTTGACCAGATACAGAGGGAGTGAGTTGTATGACCTCAGATTGGAAGTGGCACATGGGGTGGATATTGATGATGTGTGAGGAACCCATTGGAATTCTCTGTGCATGCAAACAGAAAAAGGAATTGCATTTAGGGCTGAAGAAGAAGCAGGGAGTGGTGAGTGTTCCTGCTTTGGCCTTCCGCCACGTTAAACTACCACCGTAACTGTACTGTAATTTACACTAGAGCAAAAACCTTTCAACTTCCATTTACCTTAGTTTGTAAATGACCTTCTCTCAGTTTGTGTGGTGCGGGGAGCCATGGCACCTTGTCACATGGCCGGCCACCCTCGCTTCTCATCATTCAGCTAGATGGGAGATTATGTTAACCACCACCATCTTTTTTTACCCTGTTTTGAGTAACTGGTCTAATGAAACCCTCCTCCTTGAAGTTATGATGTAAACCTCTGATTTTGAAGAATAAAAAGGAGGAACCTCATCTTTTGGATTATTTCAACCAGCACACGGACTCTTCCACAGGAAAGAGAAAAATCTGTCCATTTTTAAAAATCACCCAAGGTTTTTATAGGGTGGGGCTACAGCTGGGAGAGCCTGTTCCCCAGTGGTAGGTGGAACCCCTCCAGCAGTATTGGGCAAGGCTGGCAAGTGGTACCACAAAGAGGCCGAGGAGCACCCAGCACCCCCTCCCCACCAACCCACCACACACCTGTGTGCCTTTGGATCCCTGCAGTGCACACACCCAGTGCAGTAGACAGCAGTGACAGCAGCTAAACCAGTGCCCACTGACCCAGCTCCCTCCTTGTCCAGGAGCCCCCTGAAAGCTACAGCTTCCTGGCTGGACTTCGTTCTTAAGTGCTATTTAAAAATCTATGCTCTGTGGCCTGACAAGAATAAATGGACAATGTTTAAGAGCTTTGAAAACTCAACTAAAGTGACCATGAATATACAAACAGAGCCATCCCTCCTCTTAGGGGGAACACAAGGTATTTCTATCGCTACTGCCAAGGATTTTCCTTTTACTACCTGAATAAACGCAAGCTGTCTTTCTCATAGTGGTTTCACTGTGCTTAGGGAAATAGGCATTTAAGTGGTTCTACTGCATGGCTAAGACTTCACTTGGGAAAGTTCCATGCCCATCTCAGGAGGAGTCAGAGGATCAGCGAAGGCCAGCAAGTAATTTAACCCCTCCTCACAGTTGGTCAGTGGGCTCCACTGTGGACACAAAAATCCTCAGTAGCACTTTCTTCTGTGCTTTTGTGAACTCATCTCAGCATCACTCTAAAGGTTCAGACAGAGATGCCTGCCTAGTGTTAGGGTCTCATAAAGGTCTTTTCTTTCTGTCTCACACCTCGCCTTCATGAGTGAATATCTAGCTGCATCCTTCACTCTACAGACCCCAAGATGAGCCAATGGGAAACCTATAGATCTCAGGATGAGCCAATGGGATCCCTCTCAGCCCTCATCACCCACTACCCACCCCCCCGCACGATTTCACTGTCTTTCTCACTGGGCCATAGTCTTGGTGCACAGAACTGTCTAACCCTGAAAGTCTGAAACAGGAAGGGTTTATCCACTATTGCAGCACAGTTTCAGTTCAGTATGATCTGGGAGGTAGAGAGAGATGGGTATGGGGTGGTACTTTAAACTATGAGACTTTTCTCCAGTAACAGTGTTTCTGCTTA